TTATTTCTCATCTAACGAGTTATTAAATGCAACTTGTGATTCTTCGGCCCTGTTTCTTCTTATAACTTTAGATGCTTTACAGCGGCTCTCAGGATACCGCCCCAAATGCTCTCAGCTTCATACGTGGTTCCTGCTGTGAGCTTCTCATGCGCCGATTCAGCAACAAATGCGGTCCATGAGGAAGCGAACAGTTTCTCCTCCCTTCACGGAGGTCATTATGAAAACCAATCAAATTTTCGTGCAATTCAAAAATTGGAAGTCAACTCAAGTGTTACAGTCGCAAAACTCACTGATAATAATCAGTGTCAGTACCTGGATGAGGCGCTTGGACAAGATCTGACCTGCAAGAATTTTATCTTCGACGATTCAGTGTTCCGCTCAACCATCACCAGCGACGTGAGTGAGCATATACAATCTAGTCACAATACCTGAGCCTCATATTTCTTTTATCTGTTGAAAGACGAAGAAATAAGCTTCTTTCACCGAATAAATATCACACACCTTTCGATATAAGTTGAAAATTGTATTATATTTCCATTATTACTCAATATAATCTCATTTTCATGTCGGTACAACGATACAGTCGGGTCTCACGGGAACGCATGTATGGTGTTGTTAGGCTCAAGATTGTTTTTACTCGTCATTCAATGTCTGGTTGTAGCGTTGCAACCTGCCTGGTGGCGCGAGTCAGGGCACATCCTTTTATTCTTAATAGACTGCATCCTCAGTAATCTTGCTCCCCATCAAGATGATACCATATATGGGGGCGCTGTGTTCCAGTAAAATTATAATTTTGACAGAAGTGTCAACGATTCTTCCACGATTAAATATATTTACCAACATTAATGCTTCTGTCATAGTCTTCCAAGTTCCAAATAAAACGTGGCTTCAAACAGCCTCACTAAGATCAGTTTTTGTCAGAGGCTCCATCAGAGATCAGAGGCTCCATACAATCAATTGAGGCGCAAAATGCGTACATAGGTCTATATGCAAAATCTACAAATATTGAAATACGTGTTCTTTAGATATTTAAGCATTGATGACATGCAGTTTCCAACGGTATTGCTTCTTGTGTTACGAACAATATTTTTTTTAAGAAGAAAAAGAGCTTCCTACCTAATTCGATTTTTTTTCTTCAGTACGAATTGGTTTGCAGTCGTTCGTACTTGCGTCCGATGTATACGTCGCTGTACATGTTCGGAGCCATGTTCGGCTCAGCCGCAGTGGGCTACATGGCAGACTGGTTAGATCCTCGTGCATATTACTCAACTCTTTCATTTGTCCTTTAACTTTGCGTGTTGCTCCTCTCTCTTACTTGTCCTTAAACCTTGCGTGTTGCTCCTCTCTCTTACTTGTCCCTTAATCTTGCATATGTTGCTCCTCTCTCTTACTTGTCCGGTTGTCCCTTAATCTTGCATATGTTGCTCCTCTCTCTTACTTGTCCCTTGATCTTGCATGATGCTCCTCTCTCTCTTCCTTGTCCCTAGTCTTACATGTTGCTCATCTCTCTCTCTCTCTCTCTTATTTGTCCCTTCATCTTGCATGTTGCTCATCTCTCTTCCTTGTACCTTAGTCCTGCATGTTGCTCCTCTAGGCTCTCTCTTACTTGTCCCTTAATGTTGCATCTCTCTTAATCTCTCTTACTTGTCCTCCTCTCTCTCTCTCTTACTTGTCCCTTAATCTTGCGTGTTACTTTTCTCCCTTACTTGTCCCTTAAAGTTGCATTTTATTCAACTCTTCCATTCACCCCTGCATTGAATGAACCGTAGCTCAGCCTTTTAACCCGTGATACAGTGAAATATCGAAAACTATTATTACTTATCCAGGAATTAGCCGGCTAATATTTTGATTGCTGGAATTTTACAGGAGCTGTATATTTAAATCCTCAAATTATTATTAGTTATCACAAATGTATGAAAAAAGTTGAGTTCTCTAGAACAATAAACCCATGCAGGAAGGGTAGGAAGTTGCCAATGACCGTAGGAATCATCGGCTACGCGCTCACTCCCGTCGCCCTGAGCGTCATCCCGTCACTCGAGGTCATCCTCTTCTGTCGTCTGCTGCTGGGGTTCTTCCATCCTATTTTGCTGACATCCTTTTATACGATTGGTAAAGTTGACTTTTATCCCGTTGTTTAGCTCTGATATTTGTTACTGTACTTGTAATTATTAATTTCAGTTAGGAGTTACTTTATAATGATATCGAGGCAGGAGAAATGCTAATTAATTCTGTACACTCAGCTCTTTGAATTTGAAATACTAAAACGTTATGTACCACAACGGTGACAATTTTCATCACGATTGTAAACATCATAATAACTGCCAATAATGCGATAATAGTTAATAACAATTGTTTTCATAAATGTTTGGATTTAAAATTATTTATATATAAGAAGATAAAGTGTTCAAAATTCACTTCTCACAACATATTTTTTAGAAAAAAACTCAGTTGTCATACTTCAGAATAGTGTTAAGAAATTTGTCTACTCAATCAATAACCGAAGTTATTTACAGAAAATATTCCATACATTCTCGTGTATGCGACAGTCAGTTAGAGTGTTTCTCGTTTGTTTGAAACTTCCTTTATTGTCTCATGTGAGACCATGACTCCTGAGGTATATGTGGCCTCTTGTGGGGCCATGACTCACTAGCAGGACCTAGCGATGGTAAATTGCTCATGATCTGTGGGCCATAGATGTATTGCAATGATCTTGTTGAAAGCTCATAAATATTTGAGTCATTAGACCATTAAATCTTGATTACCATCGTTTTCCCGCACGAAAAATTCATAAAACTCGTATTACCTCATGAAAACATGAATACTAACATGAAGGTAACCATGAACAGCATTAGAAGTGAGTCAACCGAAGTACCGAGCGACGGTGGGAGTGTTGGCAGGTCTGCCATGGGCGCTAGGCACCATAGCCTGGGCCGGGCTCGGCTACCTCATCAGGGATTGGCAGTGGCTAATGCTCACTGCGACTGTCCCTTCTTTTTTCTTCCTGCCCTGTATCTGGTGAGTGAAACTATTGCTGCCAACGTCCCATCTCTCTTATTGGTTTAGTTTACATTCATTACTGTTTAAAATAGTAGTGAATATGAACCAATAACTAACCTTACGAAAGATCGTGAAGAAAAACTTCTCGTGAAGTTGGCACGAAATTTGGGCAATTGGACAGGAAAATTCACAATTTTCAAACTATTATTTGAACCGTATTGTCGAAAACCTTTAAACTTGTGCTATTTAAATAAATATGGTATATTACAAGATAGATTAAATAGTCGAGGGGCAGCCGAATCAACGAGTTATTTAGGCGTAATAAAGAATGTATTTCGAGCTACATTGAGGCATGTTCACTGCAGATTAGTACCAAAAAGCTTCCCCAGTCTTCAGTGATTATGGGTCAGTGACTTAGATTTATTTATTGTTTTATTCGCAATTTTCTTTTTAGTTTTTTCAATATATCGAACAATATTTTTAGTTTGATCTAGCAAATCGAAAATCAGGTTACAGATGGACATTTTTATTTCGTTAACGACGTTTCGAATGTTTCAATCATTCATTATCGCACAAAAGGCGCATTGAGTGACGAAATTTGGGTCGACATAAGTACAAAATCATGTAAATAGGATACTACTCAAAAAATAGAATTGGTTAGAAATAATGCCTAGTCACTAAAATATTAAGATGAACAAAAGTCAAAACACCGGTAACCATTATTCTTCAATTTGTAAAACCATTATTCACTAGAATTTGTTTACACGATCGTGTAAACAAATTCTAGTGAATAATGGTTTTTCAAATAGAACAGTTGACACTGAAATATCAAATTACCGATCGAGAGAAAACCGAACCAACAATGAAGCAGTATCTAATGGAACCCCCACAACGGTCTTCTACCAAAACCAGATGAACAGAGGCTACAAAGTGGATGAACGAGTCCTCCAGTCAATTACCAATGATAATGTCAAGAGCACAACGGATAACGAAAATATAAAACTTCTGATCTACTACAAAAATAAGAAAATTAAAAACCTTGTAATGAATAATAATCCCTGTAAAAAAACTAGTCTGCTTCAAGAAACTAATGTTTATAAATTCTCATGTAATAAAGAAGGTTGTAGACTTCTCCAAAATATGAACTACATTGGTCTAATAAGCCCGACCTTAAGCCGCCGACTAACATGCCATCTACAATCTGGAGGACCTAAAACCACATGCGGGAAGCTCACAATGAGACCATCACCCGAGTGACATTGGAGGCTTGCACCAGCATAGTTATGCGGTGCCCCGACCCATCGAGACTGATGATAGCTGAGGCTCTCATTATCAAGAACGAGTCTCCAGCTATCAACCTCCAAAGTACAGGATTCGTCCGGACGCGAAATTATTTTCGGAGTAATTTTTAAGCTATTATTTCGAATTGTATCCACTATACCTTTGATATGTACTTCTGTCATTTCAAAAGTCAATTTCAGATGTAAAATGAACCGAAATGACCGCCGACCCTCTATTGTTTAGCCCATTACTTTCCAACATCAAGAAAATTCACCGAGAAGTAATTCATTCCAGTTTGGGAATCATTTTTTTTTTGTACCACATGTGTCACCGTGCAGGCTGATAGATGAGTCACCGCGATGGCTGGTCGTTCACGGACATCACGACAAGGCGATCGAAGTCTAACATACTCGAGCTCTTGCCAACCGAAGTACGCCTCCAGGGCCTCGGATCCTCTATGATCGCTTCCCGAGTTGGCTCCATCTTGTCGCCTTTCATCGCCGACGCCCTGGTGCTATATGGTTTCAATGTCACACATAAATCATTTAATTTATCCATCACGTGAACTGATAGTATGAAATCGAAAGAACCTCCTGCTTTAGGCGCCAAATTTACTCATGAACCGTCAGATCGGAAAAAATGTGGTCCGCTATACGACCGTGCTTCGCTGTGCGACATCAGGCACTGCTAAAATGCAGTGGAGTGGCGTAATATGTGTCAATATCTATCGATGATGAATCAGACATAATTAGAAACACGTGGCCGGTTTCCTCCCAGTCGACTTGGCCAAGGAGTTCGTCCGAAATAAAAGTACAATCCACAATATCTTGGGTAAGAAAGATTTTGATGGGCACCTTAACCTGAAAATAATTATTTTCACCCTATTGTACTTATGTACAATATATACGTAAAAGAGATGAACTTTTTGGAGGCCCAACGCGGATCGGAGTATTTTCCATTAACATAAATGAAAAAATAGGTTGGCTTTAGGAACGAATAGCTTTACGAGCCGAGTTCTAGCACGAATCAAGTTGGTGGGGCGGGGTTCCACTGAAACTGACTTTTAGAGAGATTGACTAAATTTTCAGTTAATTTTGGTCAATCATTCCTACGTTCTTTTCGGTGTGATCAATGCTCATGCATTAGAATAAAATAGAATTGAATAGAAGTGTCGGCACTGAAGAAATAGGCCCATGGCCTGTTGCCGATTCTTATACTTTTCATGACTTGATTCACAATGGATCCGGCCTTTGGAACCCGATCTTTCCAGAACTGACGATTGATTGAATCATTGAGATAGATGCTGGTCTTATTGCCTGGTCTGTAAGTTGCTAGGCATTGTAAGACTGAACATATGCTCCTGCATAGCTTCGTCTAGTCTGTTCTTAAAGGCGTTCATACTCGGAGCGTCAACGATGCTGTTTTCATTATGTTTCCAACGATTTAATGAAAAGTTTTTATAAAAACTTCACTGAGCAGTGAATTTAATTACATTGTATGAAATAAATTGTAATTATAGAATTACATTGACATTATTACATTGTATATTTTATCGCTCATAAAAGTGAACTGCTGATCTCAGGGTGAGAGCGTCCCATGGCTCCCGTCTGTCATCTTCGGGGGAGCCAGCATAGTCGCTGGGCTCATGACCCTGCTTCTTCCTGAGACGAACAAGCAGCACATGCCTGACACTGTCGCAAAATTTAAGTGTGATATAAGGAGCATGAGAGGGGCTAGCAGTAACTGCACGGAAGAAATACCTAATCAATACATATGCTATAACATATTAAAAGCCCAGCATTCAAGTTGAATTTAGTGGTGTTCAAGTTAAAGCACTGAGGAGAAAAGTTAGGTTACAAAATCCTAATTTAGCCATGCCCCCACTTAAAGAATATTCAGAATCAAATAGGAATTAAACTGATACTCAGCAATACTCGTTCGGAATTAAAGGAATGCGAAGCATTTCATGGACAAAAGCCAACTAAAATGATGCAGAAAGTATTGAAGTGATTCAGCTGCTATTTAAGTGCTTAAATGCAACAGTAATACTACCCCCTGACGGCAGTAATCAATTTTGAATCGTGGAACATAAATGGATTTAACACTTAGCACTTGAGAGAGATGTACACCTATGCAATAAGAGTCTCACCTATTTGCCATCCGAATAATTTCCCAACAATAACGCCTACCTAAACACTCACCCAAGCATTAGGTCTTCACAGCACAAGCCACCAGTATAAAGTAGGCCGGTTGGTGAAGGATTTTTACTTTTTACCTAACCTTTTACAGCCACTGCGAAACTAGGGTCCTAAAACCAGGATCATCTTAATATGAATTTAATACGTTGCAGATTTGCTTTGTGGCGAAAAGTGTCATGGTAACTCTCGGTTACAGCCAAAACAAATAAGATAGTTATTTTTTGATGCAGGAAAGGCCGCAAGCCGGCCATCGTGACCAGCATTGTTGGGTGCTTGGTGGTACCGACTTGAAACATTATCAATTCAATGGTCAGTGCCCAGTGGCTTGATTTAATTGAGTTCTCAATTTGTCATGGCCCGCTCACAGATTTTCCAGTCTGCCAATACTTGACAATATGTCGCTTCTGCTTTGTAATCTTTCATCCTCTGAGGCTTCAAGCAAAGTGTTCACTGTGCAGTGCTCACCATCGGCGTCTCAAAGCCAAAGTTAGTGCAGTAGTGCTTGCCAAGCCTTAAGCTAGGGCTGTCTCAATAGTTGACGACTTGACGTGCATTACTATCTCAAATACACCCAAGGAGGGAAAAAAGGTCAATGATTTCAGCAAATCCGCAAGTACCACACAATGGTGTGTCCGTGAGTGAGATATCGAGAAACGCCGGAACGGTGCACGTAAGCTTCTACCCCTACATGCCCTCGACGAAGGCAAGCCAATACAAGAGATTACTCGAAGGGACTTGGCATGTACCCAAAGTACATGCCATTGACTTGGCATCGTACCAACAAGTGGTGAATACCTTCATCAGATTCATTAAGTAACAATAACTGCGAAAGAAGTGTACGTATTTCCAATTTTTGAACGTGATCCAATTTTACCGCCATAAAATTGTAAGATAGGGAAAATTCCGCTAGAAAAAGGCATTTCGTCACAAATTATATTTAAAAATATACACATTATTGAATTAATTATTGATGTAACTGTACTTCCCATCCAGGTCAAAATCATCTCACTTTAAACAATATTCTTCGTATGCCTGCATATTTTCAGTTTTCCTGTAGCTACATTATGTAGGAAAAAAAATTATTTTTCCTCTATATAGTCAATTAGACTTTTGAGTCAGTCGTAGTATGGGCTTGGCAAGAGAAGAGGAAGGAGGCAACGAAACGACTCCGGTGAAGCACACGTGTGCACACAGTTTTCTGATGAAGTACTTATTGAGGACCTCTCAGATTATTTCTCATCTAACGAGTTATTAAATGCAACTTGTGATTCTTCGGCCCTGTTTCTTCTTATAACTTTAGATGCTTTACAGCGGCTCTCAGGATGCCGCCGCAAACGCTTTCCGCGTCATACGTGGTTCCTGCTGTGAGCTTCTCATGCGCCGATTCAGCAGCAAATGCGGTCCCTGAGGAAGCGAACAGTTTCTCCTCCCTTCACGGAGGTTATCATGAAAACCAATCAAATTTTCGAGCAATTCATCAATTGGAAGTCAACTCAAGTGTTACAGTCGCAAAACTCACTGATAATAATCAGTGTCAGTACTTGGATGAGGCGCTTGGACATGATCTGACCTGCAAGAATTTCATCTTCGACGATTCAGTGTTCCGCTCAACCATCACCAGCGACGTGAGTGAGCATATACAATTCTAGTCACAATACTTGAGCCTCATATTTCTTTTCACTGTTGAAAGATGATAAAAGAAGCTCATTTCACCGAATAATTATCACACACCTATCGATAATAGTAAGAAATTATATTGTATTTTCATTATTAAGCAATAGAATCTAATTTTCATGTCGGTACAACGACACTGTCCGGTCTCACGGGAAGGCATGTATGTTAGAATCAAGATTGTATTTACTCGTCCTTCAATGTCTGGTTGTAGCGTTATAACCTGCCTGGTGGCGCGAGTCAGGGCACATTCTTTTATTCTTATTAAGGCCCGTTCACACTAGGGGCAACACACGAGAATCAAGTGCCTCAAAGCGCATGCAGAGGCGCTTTGCAGCCTCTGCATGCGCTTCTTGACCGATTGACGAGCTAGCGATTGACAGGGGCCATGCCTCATGAAACACAAGCGCGGCACTTAGTAGATAGCTATTAAAGAATTGATATCACTTGTATGCTTAAATCGCAAATTAACTAAGAATTTAAATTAAATTAAAAATGTAAATCAAATTATTAAAGAAATTCAATTCGTTCTATGGTTTCAAAGTATTAATTTTTGATTCTAGATTCTACGAACTGACGATGGAGCTGGTCTCCGAAACGTTTTCTATAAAGATATGAATTTTTGTGGATTATTCTTTGCTTTTAAATTATTAGTTAGTAGATAGCTGTCTGTGGTCTAGTAAGGTTGATTGTGTACGCTGGTCCGGCACACCAAATGTCAACTAACACCACTTTCGTTTGGAGTCCCTCTCTAGTAGAGCGCCTAATTGATCTTTACAGAGAACACGAATGCCTATGGACTATAGAGTGTTCGGTCAAAGGAGTACAAAAATCGAAATACAAATGATGCAAGTTATTTTTACATGACGTGTTTAGTTTATGTGATTTTAGCAACTCCTGACAATTTATGCATTACCTTTTAGCGATTTCAAGGGATGATATAATATCGGTACGAATATTGGAACTTTTTAATTAAGAATAGACTATGTTTTTATAAACTGTATCTTTTTGAATGTGCTAGTTCTCTAATTATGATGCCTATGCTAAATTCGCGTTTACAACTGGCATAGTGCGAAGAATGACGGACCGCAGCACACCCGAGAACAATGGCCCACCGCTCAAATTCGGTTTCATCCATCCTCATTGACGTCTAGGTGGCAACTAGTGTTCAAAGCGCGCGGTCTCAAACTACCGAGTACAAAAGTAGTGTGAACGGTTGTGCGCGGTGAGGCACTGCAGCAAACGACTCAAAGCGCATGTCGTTGCCACTAGTGTAAACGGGCCTTTAGACTGCATCCTCAGTAATCTTGTTCCCCATCACGGTGATACCAAATATGGGGCGCTGTGCTCCAGTAAAATTAACATTGTTGACAGAATTTTCGACGATTCTTCCACAATTAAATACATTTACCAACACTAATACTTCTGTCAAATTTTCCCAAGTTTCAAATAAAACGCGGCTTCCAACAACCTCACTAATTAGATCAGTTGTTGTTTGGGAGCCATACAATCAATTGAGGCGCAATATGCGTACACAGGTCTATATGTAAAATCAACAAATATTGAAATAAGTATTCTTTTGATATTTAAGCGTTGAAGACCTACAGTTTCCAACGGTATTGCTACCTGTATTCTGAACGATATTGTGTTATTACATTGTACTGAAGTTTGTGCAATGGAAAAATCTAAAGCTTTTAGAAATCTATTTCCAGTACCTAATTCGAGTTATTTTTCAGTACGAATTGGTTTGCAGTCGTTCGTACTTGCGTCCGATGTATACGTCGTTGTACATGTTTGGAGCCATGTTCGGCGCTGCAGCAGTGGGCTACATGGCAGATTGGTTAGAACCTCGTGCATTTTACTCAACTCTTTCATTTGTCCTTTATTCTTGCGTGTTGCACCTCTCTCTTACTTGTCCCTTAATCTTGCATGTTGCTCCTCTCACGATGACATCGTTGGCGCTCCAAGTATGAACGCGTTCAAGAACAGACTAGATAAAGCTATGGAAAAATATATGTTCAGATTTGAAATGCCTAGCTCCTTATCGAACCCGGTGGAAGTCTAGCAGCTACTTCAACTATCGCCAATCATGAAAAGATCCGGTCAAATGACGCGAGTTTAGATCTATGAACAAGGCACGAAAAGGAAAAGAATCGGCGACAGGCCACATCAGGCCTACACTTCAGCGCCGACATTACTATGTTATGTTATGTTTTGCCCAACGGAGCCTCGTGGCGAAGTTCATCTATCATTGATTCTTAACTAGTAAACACTAGATCTGGAATATTTGGGGTCTGTTTACCCCTAAAATGGGTTGGCTTGGTGATATTCTGGATTAAAAATGAGTCTCGCACAGACTCCAAAAACAGGGATTTTGGGTGATTCCCATCTCTTGGAGAAGATTCATCTGCCTAGTCTATTTCTGGATGGTTAAAATAATCAACTATCAATGTATGCGACCTGCTGAAAGTCATGTTCGTAAAAGGCTATCCTTGCCTTTAAGAGTAAGTTCGCACCACACTGATTCTCTAGCTGATTAATGCTCTGCAGATACTTCTTGCTGGGCCCATAAAAGGTTCTAAACCACAGAGCTACACCTCTCCTGCACTGCTCTTCATTTATTTTAATTTATGAAAACAATTAAAACCATGCAGCTGAAATTCAACAGGTACGATTTTCCCCCGTGATTTTTAGGGAGTGTTTTTGTAAACAAATAACGTCTATACACTCGTTTTAGATACAGTTAACAGTTCACTTTTAATTGTTTAAAACGGAATCCGAGTTCGTGTAAAAACATTTTAAAACTTTTTGTGCACTTCCACGTTGATGTATGCGGTTATTTCCTACATTATTTACAGGCCTTGATCTACGGAAATCATTCATACTAATTACTAGTCCTCCATCTCCCCTGACTGACCGTGAGCAGCCGGAGTTGTCTTGCCAGCTTGGAAGTGATTGACCTGATTTTCCGTGCCTTTCCGCTTGATTCACTCCTGCCATTTCTTGCGAAAAACCGCCCTCTTTAAAGGGGTAGAATCTTTCTTTACAAAAAACTTACTTGTAATCAGCGGATTCTCCAAGCTTTCTCGCTGTTTTCAGCACGCTCCAGACCTGAGCAGGATCCTTTACAGTCACCAAAAGAGGTCTGCAGGTGTTGGCAGCAGCATCCTTCGAGCGCAGCCTCTTGCACGCTGTAACATCAATCGGTGTGTTGAGTACCTTGCTGCAACATTCTACAACAAATGCCGTGTCATCCATCACTCGGTCTTTCGCATCAGATGTGGTACTTTCGGGAATCCCAAACCAAACCAGGTTGGCCTTCCTACGTTCTCTATCAAGTAATTCACGCGAGCTTTCGCTAGCGAATTCAGATAAATCAGCTCTCTTGTTCTTTACTTCCATTTCTTCCGTATTTTTCAGCTGAGCCTTCACTTCAGCCTATTGCATAGCGAGCTCAATTTGTCACTCAGCGATGGCACAATCTCACTCAAGTTTACTACATCATTCAACGATTTCGACTCATTGCCGTGCTCTTCCACCGACTCCTCGCTTTTTCGAGCACCAATAGATGGGTGATCGAAATGGGCTTCTCGACTATCTTTTTTTATTTTCTGTCCAGCCATTATAAAATGCACGAACTAGACCTCTTGAACGGAGAAAAGGACGGAGAAAAATACAAAAAAGAGTTTGAGTATAGTAAAGTTCCCCGAATATTTCGACTGGCGGAACAGCTGAGCTGTAGCTGGCGAGGGAAAAGACAGGGGTGGGCGGGGGAATCAAGGGATCGACGCGACAGGCATTAGAGAGGGGGAGGGATAGGGGCCAAGAGGGTGGGGAGGGTATAGGAAGACGAGGCGTCGAAACCTGCACGTACAGGATTCTATAAGAGTGTGAACATACAAGAAACCGAGATCATATAATGATAATTATAGTTTAATGAACGCAGTTCTAGATGAGAGCTGCTTTAAATCGAAAATACGAAGCACCATGATCATCTAGGATGATAATTAGTTTTATGAACACAGTTCCAGAAGGGAGCTGCCTAATTTCAAGCGACTGCAACATTCAAGACACGAGATCAATCGTACTCTACTTAATCCAATCAATCTCGTCGGTCTGTCTCATGACTCTAACTGAATACATAGCTTATAGCCTCATTATAAGACACATAGAACGGAGCAGGCAATAATGAACGGTAGAGCGATCACATCTAGCCGACCACAAATGATTCCGACAGATTTAATTATTCACTATTACTCTCATTAGCAATAACAAAACGATTTTTTTGAGGATCTGACAGAAGCAGGCTACTGCTAGAGTACTAGGTTACTGGCACCTTTACATACAGGCCGACTGCTAATGGTAATTAACTACTGCTAGGTTACTGGCCTAGTTTTCCAAACTGGCTGACCACGGTAATTAACATGACACGGGGTAAATTCGTAGGTTCTTCAACTTACGGTCTTTGAGGCTCTAGAAAGACGAACGTGGACTTCAATTCTTCAATGCTTTTCTAACGAATAGCTTTTACTACTAGAAATACCGTACGATACCTGCAAATATGGAATAAAGTATTTAGACTGGAACTATAGACCATTTAACTTCACAGCACAGCAGCTTTTCTGACAATCCCATTCATTCTCAAATCGACGATATTTCCATACAACCAAGGCACACTTGACACGCATTAGCTTAAAAAAGAAGCCAAATCAATTTGCAATGATTAAATGATCATCTGTAGCAACTAGCCATTACAAAGCATTCTCCACAAGATTTCTATTTTTAGGGCAGAACAGAAACTACTAGATCTAGCTCACGACAATTATCGCCTTGAGATGACGCTGTATTGGTTGATTTACTAAGTTAATTCAAATCAAACACTAATGGATTGAACAAATAATTCAAATATAAACGGACATTCTGTGATATGCCGCTGGCATAGAGGCGCCCATCTTGACTAAGTGACGTACAACTTCACACAACAGCTTCAGGAATAAAAAGTAATCACTGATATTCTCACAAACAGTTTCTACTCGTTCATAAAATCTCAATCACCCAGTAAATACACATATTTCACATTTAACACATAGAAACACAGAAATAAATTTGGCACAGCTTCCCTCGTTGCCGATCCAAACTTCAACTGCGCGCGCATCGGGTGTGTCGCTGCTGCCGGATTTGAATTTTCCGGAATTAGCAGGCAATTCGATAATTTGCATACTACGATACACATTAAACATTATATTTACTCTACAGTTCAAAGTTACTACCTCGAGCTCCTCGGTCAACGATGTATTGATACTATTTTTACACGTTGAAATTAACGTGACACTACAAGCTTGCCCTCGCTTCATGCACTGGCATTAGTCGGGAATAAAAACACTTGTACTAGCCGCTTTTTCTCACTATTCGCTCAATTTTTACTGAACTGCACTGAAATTGAACGTTTCACTAAAATCGTTTCGGTACAAATTCGAGATAAGTCAAACCGGCATAGTAGAAATTGAGAAAATTGGGACCCGCAAAAACGTACCTGCGTCCTCGATCACGGCCAGCAAGTAACTCCATAAAGCATAAAACCTTCATTGAGCAGTGAATTTGGTTACATTGTATGTATTAAAACGTAATTATATAATTACGTTGACATTATTACATTGTATATTTATCGCTCATAAAAGTGAACTGCTGATCTCAGGGTGAGAGCGTCCCATGGCTACCGTCTGTCATCTTCGGGGGAGCCAGCATAGTCGCTGGGCTCATGACCCTGCTTCTTCCTGAGACGAACAAGCAGCACATGCCTGACACTGTCGCCGAGCTCGACCAGACTCACGTTCTGCCCGACAAGAAACAAATGGACAGGAAAGTAACCATAGATATTCAAGAGACTGATGAAATTACTGAGATAGTCAAGGAAAAATAAGGTTTGACCCGGAACAAATTGCAAAAGAAGTGATTTTTCACCAATGCTCCAGAAGGGCAATAGAAACAACATACTAAAAATCCTCTAAAATGCAAGTAGTGGAAGGGTGTCAAATTTAATATTAAAAAAAAATGGCCGCCGAATGGCAATATAGGCCCAATAACACATTTTTAAAATATGACCGACAGTTATTTTTGTGACTGTATGTATGTTTGTTTGTGTATGTCTGTGCATGTATGTTTTCATGTGTTAATTCACTAATAATAACTAAAATTCATCCAAGGTGGTAGCAATCTGGTATTTGTAAAAACAGCCACCCATAAAGTGAAAAATTGTGATTATATAGGCATGTGGAATAATGCCTATGATATATTCAGGCAAGCACCTGCAGGGTGTGTGTGTGTGTGTGATGCAGGGTGAGTGTGTTTCTATATCATAAATGGTGTGTTAATTGTAGTAAGAGGGCAGCATTGTCTAGACCCTCTGGTGTAAGTTTTTAGAACATGACCAGCAAGAAAGGGTGGCCCAGTGGTTACAGTTCAGAGTACCAGGATTGGCGCAGAGAGGCGCGGGTGCAATCCCAGCTCTGTGCGCCAGTTTCTGGTCAGAATCGGCGAGGAGGCCGTGCGATTAAGCACAGCAGAATTGTAGCAGTGAGTTGCGAGTTCGAGACCGCAAAATGCTGTGAATGTCCTGCGATGTTAGGAATCGGTGACAAGCCTACGGCCTAATAAACGCTGAAACCTTTATTATTATTATTAAGAGAGCAGCCCTCTGATCAGACTTCAAGACAGGATACATCATATAGAGGTATTTGTGATTATTACATGCTTATAGTCACTGTTACAGAATGTCTAGCTTGTACATATGCTTGGTAGAGGGTGATCACATCATGTCTTACAGGTAGCACCAAGATGGAT